GTATTGGACCAATACAAGGCTCCATTGACTGCCATTAAAATCTATTAAACATTAATATTTCAAAAACTATAAATGGTACTGAACTTATAGAGCGCTTTTCAAGTCCCTCCGGACCCCCAAAGCGCTTTACACTAACAGACATTCACCCATTCACACTCACATTCACATATAAGTTGTACAGGCACCAAAAGGCATAGCCAACATTTGGCACAGGGGCTTTACAGATATAAATTACAATGGCAGCTCTAGGACAAAGTATGCAGGAGGAGAAGCATGGCAAAGTTGAGATGACTTGGATGGGAAACGAATCACAATAGTGTGCATTGAATTGGCAATGCACGCTGATAAAGCCTCTTGCTCTGCTTTACACATAGTTTGGCATCTGAATGAAGGGATATTTTTTTAGATAAAATGTTTTGTCTTTCAACAATGTCCTTCTTCTTGTTCTACACCAGTGGTGTCCAAAGTCAGTCCTCAAGGGCCGGTGTCCTGCATGTTTTAGGTGCTGTCCTGGTTCAACACAGCTGAACCTAAGGAATGCTTAATAAATGGGCCTCTGCAGACCTTGATGGCAAACTGAGAAGGCAAACCATCTATCAGCTGTGTTGAAGCAGTGTTGAAGCAGGGACAAATCTAAAACTTGCAGGAGACCGGCACTTGAGGGCCGGAGTTGGATGTGCCCGTTCTACGCAGTAGCAAGAGAGAGAAAACAAAAGACTTTGCATTGGCCGGGAATCGAACCCGGGCCTCCCGCGTGGCAGGCGAGAATTCTACCACTGAACCACCAATGCTTGTGAGTGCGAGTTGTAGAGGTGCCGCATTCCAGACATTCTGCAGTTTTCTGCTAGTTCCTAGATTATACTGAAAGAATCAGCTTTTACAGCAGCCATGACAGCTATGTATGAATCAGACCCAGATAATCATCATGTAGCAAAAACATTTTAGTCATTTTATGTTTTTAGCCCCTCCCCCAATATCATTTCCTGTTCTAGCATGAAGATAATAAGCAGTAGTATAATAAATAGTTTGATCTTAACTTACAGTGTCTTCATTCTTTATGAGCTATAAATATATACTGAGCTGAATAAATTAGAAAATAGCTGACGTAGCTTTAGCTGGTGTTGCACTGAAAGTTGCTGAAAGGTTGCACTCTGTTCAAACCTGGCATGATACGTGGAAATATAATCTACCTTCCTTCATTCTACACTTTGATCAGAAAATGTTTATAACATCACAAGGAGGAAGAAAGAACAAGTGTCTCCTTTGAAATCTTTGACTCCTAGAGTTCCGTTACCATGGAGATACCTGTCAGTAACCCTGGAGAAGAGCCTCTGATGCTGGATGTGTCCCTGGAAGGAGGCAATCTGACTGGGGCCAGCTCGGTTTCTGTTCCCCCACGGGGGACCGTCAGCTACAGGGCTTCGTTTTCTCCTGTTAGTGTGGGGAAGATCACAGGCAGGTGAGATTCACTTAACTTTCCATTCATCTTCAAAGATAGAAAGTACTCAGCCAGAAAAGTAAAATTTTACCTTTAAAAGTATTTATGTGACTGATACAACTCATAATTATCCTGGTTTGCTCAAATACTTTACTGTTCTTTGTTGACTCGCAGTGTAAGGGTATAGTTTACATAAAGTAGTTAGCAATGTTAGGCACATCCGCTAATTCCTAAGCTAACATTTTGTTTAGCAGATTAGCATTTTCACAGATTTTGGAAACTGTTCGTGGACTAATTAGCTTCTGCTACATTTAAATCAGCTAATTTTAAGTTTGCTGATGAACTATTTACATCACTTCTTGCAGTTTTGTTTTCTTGCTGATTCAGCTGGTTTTGGTTTTAACTGTTTGGTAGATTTAGGCTGTGAAACTTATTGGCTGCATCCTTTGAAGGCTGATTTCATCACAGTCATTTGCCAAAGACTTCACATTCAACAGCCCCTACAATTATGTCATCCTTTTCCCCCTGTTTGAGAGATGGGTCTGGTGATCTTTCTCAGCCCACTCTATTCCAGGATGCATTGCAGGCTGACTTTTTTTGTAATAGCAGATGAAGCAATAGACAGAAGTAGTTTAAAACTAGATAGCTAGTTAGCTAAAAATGTTTCAAAATGGCTGAGTTACTGCAGTTTCAAATAAGCTCTGGTAGTCATTTTCAATTTTTATTTAGCATTAAGAATTTTTCAAAGCTTGTTCTTGGCTACTACTATTTTTCAGCTCTGTAAGTCTCTGTAGAGAAATTGCATTGCCTGTGAAAATGCTTGTGTGAATGCTTATTGCTGAATACTTAAGCTGAAAACTAAAGTTTAATTCAAGCATAAAAAGCACAAATTTGCAGAAAGAAGTCGAAAGAAACACAAAAAATTGGAAAAAACAAACAAACAGATGAATTAAAGCTGCATCCAACACTGGGCGGCCCTTGCAGCTCAGCTCTACTCCAGCCTAGTGGCGAGTGCGGGAGCACAGGCATTACCTCAATTTTTCATTTCCAAAATGGCCAACTGTCCAATTTTTAGCAATACAATGCCCCCGTAGGCAAGTGGAGCCCTTAAATTACAAAATGACCAAAATAAATAAAATAAAACACACACACACACACACACACACACACACACACACAC